TACTGCATTTGATTAACCTTTCTCCAGGTTTCTGAATTTAAATGTTTAAAAAAGATAAACAGGACCCATTTTCTTGCGGTATATTTCAAGCAGTGGAATAGCTAGCTTGGTCATATGGAATTTCTATATTCAGCTTTTTGAGGAAATGCCAAACTGCCTCCCAGAGAGGCTGTACAATTTTACAATCCCACCAATAACGTGTAAGAGTTCCGATTTCTGCACATCCTCTCCAGCATTTCTTATTTGCTGTCCTGTTACTCTTTGCTACTGCTACTGGGGTGAGATGGTATCTCATTGTGGTTTAGATTTGAATATACCCCAAGAACTGAGGCATAAACGGACATTTGTAGACTAATGTTCATAGCATTGTTATTTACCATCACAAGATCATGGAAACAGCCTAGATGTCCAACCACAATCAAATGGATTGAGAAATTATGGTACATTTACATGATAGAATACTATGAAACATGCAGAAGTAAAGATTTTGTAAATCACTACCTAACTTGGGAGAGACTGGACAGCATTATGCTAAGTGAACGAACTCAGTCACATAAGGAGAGATACCGCACAAGACCATTACTGTAGAATGTGCATGAGGATTCAAGGGGGGGAGCAGAGAGGGGAGGAAGGGCAGGGGCGGCGGTTAGTCACAGAGTCACACAATGTGATGGGCAGACGGAGGAGTGCGTACAGGAAATGGGAAAGATCTGGTGTGGAAAACAATGTATATGAACTTTGTAGGTAAACCAGTATAAAAGAAAATTTTTATTGTTTTTTTTAAGATGCATTTAGTACATGTGGTTTTGGGGTTTTCTCCCCCTTACCACTTTTTTCCTAGGGAGAGCGGAGGAGTGTGTGTGTATTCAGAAATGTGTGCCTGTTTTCTCTCGAGAACACAATTCAAAGGGCATGCTATGTGGAAGCTGGTGCATAACTTGGAGAGCATGTTTGCAGAAAGAGCACCCACGCTATAAATGCCAGGCTGCTCAGAGTCTGACTCACCAGGGCAGGGTATAGTCAGTGACCAATGAGACTGTGGAAATGGGCCCCAATTCAGAGGGAGATGGTGAACAGTACACTGAGGACTTACTAACTTACAGGGTTTGTTTTAAATTCATCTTTCCCAAATGATGCTGTCCAAGATGAAGCAAAGAAGCTTTTGGTCCAACTCAGTCGCCTTCAAGCTGGATCGTACAAAGCATACGTGACCACCACCAGTAACCACACAGCCCCACAGGGAAGAAGCCAGGGGGTGTCCAGTGTGTGTCTGTGTTTAAGAGAGGTGCATGTGTGTGTACGTGTGTGTGTACTCACATACCTCAGAAGCACATTTGTACACGTGCATGTGTATTTATAAGGGCCTTTGTGTATGTGTGTAGATGTATGTATGTAGATGTATGCATGTGCACATGTATGTGTATGCATTTGTTTATAGGTGTCTGTGTTTTTGTGTATGTATATGTACATAGTGTGTGCAGTGTGTATATGTGTATGCATGTATCCATTCATGTGTACCTATCTGTGCTTATGTGTGTGTGTGTCTGAATATGTATGTATGTATGTATGTGCCTATGTATGTGTGTATGTCTGTCTATATGAAGAAGAACGTGGCATCAGGATTAGAGGAAGAGTCAGCAACCTGTGTTTTATAGAGGCTTTCAGAAAGTGAAGAAGACTTGAAATGCTTGCTGCAGAAGATCAAAGACTACAGCCTTCAACATTCATTAAATCTCAACATCAAGAGAACAAAAGTCCTGGACAATGGACAAATAGGCAATATCATAATAGATGGAGAAATGACAGAAACTGTTAATGATTTCCTTTTCTTTGGGTCTACACTCAATCCTGTGGTAGCAGCAGTCAAGAAATAAGATGTATTGTTAAGGACCTCTTTAAACTTCCAAAGAGCAGGGGTGTCAGTTTAAAGACTAAGGTGCTCCTGATTTGTTTGCTATGTGCTATCACATTATTTTCAATTGCTTTCTATGCATCTGAAAGTTACATAATGAATAAGAAGACCAAAGAAAAACCTATGCCTTTGCATTGTAGGATTAACAAAGAGTTTTGAATATCCCATGGATTGTTAAAAGAATTAGCAGGTCTGTCATGGAGGAAATAAAGACAGAATGCTCCTTAGAGGCAAAGACGGTAAAACTCTGTCTCAGATCCTTTGGACATGTTGTCAGGGGAGGGGTCAGTCCTTGGAAAGAAACCATCGCGGTGGGAGCAGCAGAGGACCAGGGATGGAGAGGAAGACCTTCATGAGATGAAGTGGCAAAGTGACCATGACAACAGGCTCTGGCATGAGGGGCCACTATGACGCTGCAGGTGAAGGCCAGGTCCCCCCGTTATCACAGGTTGCTTGGAGCCGTAGTCCAACCAGCGGCACCACCAGCAATGTGAGCTGACGTCTGTGTGTGACCGTGAGAACTTCTGTTCTCATATGTGCACACGTGAATGTCTGTGCTATGACTGTATGGCGTGTGCACTGTGTTTATGGAAGTGGAAATGTGTTCATATCTACCAAATGGAAATAGTGGGTGTTTCCCTACCTGATTGTCTACATTTCCTTAACTGGATAACAGAGGACAAGAGGATCTTCCTCACCCAGGCCACACAGCTGGGGAGAACTCGGATCGAAGGTGCAGCCATGTTTCCCTCCAGAGGTGAGTACTGCCACTCTCAGCTAACTCATCTCAACACTATTTCTCCATGCTGCCATTTGCACTAACCTGTTCATCCATTTAACTAAGTCTGATGAAATACATTAAAGTTCAGGCAGTTGTCTCCTGTGGTCTCCACATATATCTAGAGGAGGAACACACGACTTCAATCTGTTTATGCACTTAGTTATGCATCCTCTGGGAACAGAGCAATGCAACCACAACACGCTGGTTTCTGCTGAGACAGGTTTTCCTCAGTAGAAGGACAAAGGAGCTATTTGGAGACCTGAGGTGTGTTCATCGAAGGTGTAGGAGAGGTGTGCTGACTTCATATCAGCTCCCTTCATTTACACTGATTCCTGGTTAAACCAACAAACACCTGCTTCTAAGTCCACTGTCTAATCAGGTTTCCTAATCACATTCACTTGTCTTATTTCACTACCTTTCTTCTCAATTTCATTTTAAATAAAGCCATTACGTTATATGACAGTAATTCTGAGTCTTACATCAAGCCAGATCAAATTCGCCAGTGCGTATTGAACACTGCTTTTACGATGCCACTCTTTCAGACATAATGGCTCCTGGTGCACGGGAAGTGGCCAGCAAAGCATGTTTGCTCAGAGAACACCCAGGGGAGGCCTCGTGCTCACATTTCTGTGCATTTCTTACTTAGAAAAGGGTCAGGACCTGTCACCTGTTCTGCAGGGGCAGTGGTGGCTGTCCGTGTGGGTTTCTGTATCCGGCACTCCTTGAGAGGCCTAGCTGCTATCACTCTCCCAGGTGCACTGACACTGGGAATGGTGACAAAATATAGTCGCTCAATTATTTTGGTTCTGAAGATTCATGGGCAAAGCAAAACATAGCAAAAAGAGAACTGCAAGAGTTAGTACCTGGATCTTCCTTCTCCCTTTTAATTTCATAACTCAGCTGTATCTCTGAGAGGGCCTCTCCCGTGTCCTGTGCATCCCTGCCCGGGTCATGGGTCCAGGCCGTGCAGATTCACCACAGGGACAGGAGATGTGCTGTGAGTGCACAGTGTCCCTGGCGCTCACCAGGCCCCTGGAGCACCTGCTGTGTCCCAGTGCTACCACACACACTGAGAGACACAGGCCTGGCCCTCTGCTCACAGCCCAGAAAGGAGGGCAGCCTACGTCACTGGATGCCTGTGGTGTAGACAGGGGAAGCCAGGGACTTGGAAATGGTCACCAGCCGTTGTCTGTCCAGACCCTTCACGAGGACCATGGGCAAATCTAGCTTCCACTCACATCTCCTCATCTCCACACAAGTCTACACAGGATAAAACTGAGATTGTCACAGCACCTGGACAGACCTGCTGAACGACTCCAGTATGTACCACTGGTTCCTTCATCATGCCCATCTCTCCCCTGCTTACAACGGTTCACTGTCATCTATCTTTACACAATCTTCACGGAGAACATTCCACATCTGCTCCAGCACCACCACGTGCCCCTCAGCTTGTCATGGTACAGGGCCACCGCCACGGGGGGCAGCACTCCACTAAGCCTCGCGGGTCCCCACCAGTGACCCAGATGCTCAGCCCTCCTCTCTGTAGGTGCCCCCTGGCTTTTGATTCTGACCGTTTATAGTATTTTAGAAGATTTCTTTGCAGGTTTAACCCAGAAAATGGAGTCCAACTCTCAAGTATATCAAGTATAATACAGCTCACTGTTATTAACAAGCACGTGTGGTCCTGTTACTGATAGCGCAAAACATTAGAGCGACCAGGAGGAGAAGGGTTCAGATACTCATATATACTCACATCAGGTGTGTCTTTACACTCATGTCAGATACATATACATACATCAGGTGTGTCTTCACGTCAGCTATGTAAACATACATCAGGTGTGTCTATATACTCCCGTCAGATATGTATACATACTCACATCAGGTGTGTCTTCACGTCAGCTACGAATACATACATCAGGTGTGTCTATACACTCCCGTCAGATATGTATACATACTCACATCAGGTGTGTCTTCACGTCAGATGCGTAAACATACATCAGGTGTGTCAATACACTCCCGTCAGATACATATATATAAGTAAGAGACCAGTTTTGCTTTTTTCTCAACATTTTCTCCGAGAAGTAGCTGGTTTTCTGTTGTGTGTGAACTAGTTTTAGCCCCAGTGGACCCGAATCCCCGTCAACACCGCAGGAATCCTCAGGAGGGGCCCGGCTCAGACCCCAGGCTCCCTTCACTCCATCAACACGCAGCACAGTGACTGCCTCCGGGGAGGGAGGAGACGTGAGTCCTTGCACACCACACCCTCCTCTGGTGCCACGGTGGCCCGCACCCCGCAGGGTCACCTACCTGAGGCGATGTCCATCTGGCTCACCCTTGTCTGGGTGACGTTGATGTGGACACCCACTTTGCTCTCTGTGAGGTCAATCTCGATGGTGCCCAGGTTCTCTGCAAAGTGGCTGAAGAGCAGCAGGCCGTTGGGGTTCCAGGTTCGGAACTGGAAGCTGACAGAGAAGAGGTCCTGGTCGGCCCGGCCAGGCACCTCCAAGTAGCTGGTGGCATTGAAGAAGACGGGCACGGTGTAGAGCTCCACGCAGGAGAAGCTCAGGTTGCCCTGAGGACACACGGAGCGGGAGTCGTGCTCAGACCTGGGCAGGGGGGCCAGAGGCTAAGCTCCCCCACCACTGCTCAGGGAGCGGGGCCCGCTGGAGGTCACTCCCGGGGGACAGGGGGCACAGGTCTGCCCTGACTGTGAACCCTGGGGGAGGCTTCCTGCATGGCTCACATGGGGCAGGACCCTTGACCCAAGGTGATGCCCGACACTGAGGGGAGACAATCTCCAGGGGCTAGCAGGGTGGGAATCTGCCCTGAAAGGGCAGTTGCCAAGGGGTGTCCAGGATGAGACAAGGGAGCAGGTGTCTGTCCTGGGTGTGACACCTGAAGTGTGCACTGAGGTAATGAGCGTGATGGAGCGACAGTGACAGCGGGTGTGAAGGACCCACTACCAGAGGTGCCTTGGAGTGGGGTCCGTGTGGGGACTCTGCTGAGTTCTGAGGACAGTCGGTGGGAGGCTGGCCAGGAACCCCGTCCTGACAGGGGTGACTAAGCTCTGTGTGAGCAACGGGTCAGTTCCTCTCAGGAGGACCCAGAACGCTCGTCTGCTGATCGCAAAGCTGACCTTTGGGGCTTTTTATTCTTCCGGCCACACCTGATACATATGCATTAATATTAACTACTTCACCTCAGGAAAGGTGACAACTTCAGATTATATTATATAACTCAACATGCCACTTGGGTGCTCATGGAGTGTGCTTATATTATAACCCATTACTCCTTAGGGTGTTAGGACTGTGAACTGTACAACAAAGAAAAAAGAAAAACTTGCAATAGTTAAGGCTCCTCCCTCCCTGAGTCCTGCTCCATTTGGTGCAAATAGCATATAAACACCTTCCTGTAAAGCGTGAAAACAAATCAACGCCTGCCTTCAACCTCTTTCACCCTGCCATCATTTATCTCCTTGAATGATGTTTGCTGTGTTTCTGGTCATACAAAGTTGAAGTTCTCAGTCAACACCTCCTACAGCACCACTGACTGCCTCCTTCAAGGCGTGAGCACCCACACTCTCTCCTCCGGCTGCCCCCTTCATCCTCCCTTAACCCTGAGACCTGTGACTGGCTGGACTTCCTGGCTGGTCCACGTGCACTTTATAAACCACATCCCCAGGCTCCAGTTTGTTCACACTCCCCTTAACCTCCAGGGCGGGCAGTATCTGGGAATTCACAGTCTCTCTGCCTTCACAGATGATTCTTTTTTTCTAGGTGCTTTGATTGCTGGAAGGAACTCTCTCAGCAATGACAACGGTATCCTACCAGACCACACACCTGAATTGTGGGGACTGCCTCCCAAGCAGAAGCGGGGCACCGAGAATGAGGACTTAGCAGTTGCTGTACAAATGAGGGACAGGTGTGTGTGCCTGCTGAGGGGAGAGGCGGGGTGCAGAGGGAGGCTGATGTCTGAGACACATCCCCTGACCCCGAAGGCAGACTGCCATGGACACGGTGGCCTTTGTAAGGGTTCCTGAAGAATGCTCTGTCTTGTCATCGTCACCCTGCCTCAAATGTTTCACTTGTGTTTAAAGTTTGACTTGAACTTTCCTGTACATCTGCCCCGAGACTGTCTATTCAAGGGGAACAGAAGAATGGGTCACACCTGCGTTTACTCAGCGTCTTTGGACAAACTCTCACTGTCTGGCTCCTAGTGGGACCTGACTCCTAGCTGACCCACCATTGGGTTCGGGGATGCTACGCTGAGTGGGAAGGGCCTGCCCATCTCTCTCTCCGGGGGTGGAGTGGAGGCTCCTCTCAAGCCTCCAGAGAGGCAGTTAGCAGCGGGACTCCCGAGGGACAAAGGTCTAAAACAGCATCACACGCTTCGGGCCTGCTGCCTGGAAGGTCCAATTCTTGAAAAAGGAACGATGCCATTCTTGGGAAGGTGAAAGGTTGGAAGAGAGGCCGACCCTCAAGGCCTGTGGCTGTGACTTGAGCATTGGGATGGTGCATGAAGCACAAGGTTCAAGGCGTCACTCACAGGGTCACTAAGTCTTAGTGAGCTTGCCTGACAACCACGGTCACATCAGGGTTCTGGGGACCTGGGGACACGAGCACACTGCACTGTTTCCTCCTTCCCGCCCCCCACCTCCAAGGGCCCAGGGAGGCACGTCTGGGCTGGGAGAAGACAGCAGGCCCTACTGAGCTGTGACCAAGTCCTCATTTAATGTGAACACACGGGATCACACTCCGCTGTCTTTGCTGTCTGAGAGGAGACATTTGGGGTGTGCATCCTCACCACATCGGAGGGCTCCAGCTTCTTCCTGCGGGCCAGGTCGGTGATGTTGACCCCATTGTACGTGATGCTTTCCATGCAGCCCCTGAAGTTCTTCCTGCTGTTGGAGCTCGGCTTTCCAGAGAACGGGATCCCCCCAAAGGTGACCTGCAAAGGGGAGTAATGTGTGCTGCTCAATCCATCATCGGGGGTCTCGGCCAGGGGGATGTGAGCTCAGCCCACCTACCCACCCAGACCCAGCCACAACGCAGCCACAGGAAAATGTCTGGGCCTCAGTCAGACGCTCTCAGATTCACAGGGGAAGACCTGGTGCCCTTGAACCGCCTTTGCGAAGAGTCCTGACTAGACCACTCACTGCTAAAAGAAACAAGCATGTGCAGATACAGGGCTCTTTTGAGCAAGGACAGACAGGCTGTTTGGGCATGTTGTCAGAAGGACCAGTCCCCGGAGAGGGGACATTGTTCTCGGTCAGCACAAAAGAGGAAGACTCTCAACAAGGTGCGTTGCCACGGTCACTGCCAGGGTGGGCACAGCGGAGCCTGAGCGCGGTGCAGGGTGGAGGCACTTCTGCTCGATGTAAGGCCGCTGGGAGTTGGAATTATTGCATATTCATTGGTCTTGCTGTGAGTACAGAAAACCAGAAGCTCCATTTCAGTACTGACTAGGGGCCGCCTAGGATTGATGGATGTCAGGCAAGAAGCATAGGCTTCAAGACCTCAAAGGTTTTCCACTTAGGACACTGGTGGTCCAGTGCCCAGGGACCTGTACTGCAAGGTCAAGGGCTGCACTTCTCTGGTTCTGATCCACCAGCAGCTCTGTGGGGCAAACGGGCCATCTCCTCCTGCGCGACTGAGACCTGCTCGAGGGTCAAGTGTGACTCGGTTCCAACTGGATGTCAGTGAGAAAGAACATGACATTCCTTCTCCGAGTCCCTCTGATGACTGACGACTATTATATAGGAAGAGAATGTGTATCTTTCCGTCAACTTTTGGTCAGATTACTGTTGTATCAAATTTATATAAACACAAAATGATACTCATCATTTATATGATCAATAGCAACATTTTCTACTCTGAAAGAATAATAGTAAATATATTTACTAAGCCCAGTTATAATCTCAAAGCATATAATTCTGATCTTATGTATCTATTTTAATTACGTATTACCATCATCAATTTCTCTCATATTTTTCAAGTGAAAGCAATAGTTAATTTTTTTTAAATGTCAGGACTTCATATTTTAAACATAAGGCAAAGACCTTTGCGTTCTAAGGGACCCATGAGCAAATTATGTTCTATTATTTAGTGTCATGGCATTTTAAATGCTTAATTAGCTTTAGGGGGGAAAATGATGGTTTAGAAGATGTTATTAAAAAAACATAAAAGGCATCACTCAAAATAAAATTGAATATTATTCATAATGGAGGGCTCAATGTGCATAATTTACCACTGAGCTCAGGCACAGGAAGGAAAGGGGAAAATGACACAAGAATGGATGAATACACACCCCCAAACAAGGCAAGTCCAGCTGCCCACGTGTGCTGTGCACCCATCTTCTTTAGAGCCAGAGTGCTCTTCCCCCGGACACTGAGTTCTTAGGCCAGATGAGGGTGGGACTATGTTGGTTTAATAAGTTGTGTGGGGAGACTGTGGGACCCCAGTGCTGTCACTATCTGGAGAAGACCCGTCTGTCCACCCACCTTCCCTCTGAATGGAGCACAGGACTGAACGGAGGAGCTACCACAGAGACAGCACAGTGCCTGGGGGAACACGGGACAGGCCTGACTCCTTGTTAACAAAGAATAAATGTGCCTACGGTGTTTTCTTAAAACATATTATTGTGATTTGAGCAAAACTTTACAGAGGGATTGGTTTTCCATTCAATCTTTTATATACGTTTTGTTTTATGACATTGCTTACAATCCCAGCTCTGTAACAACCTTCCACCTGCCTCTCCTCAGTGATCCTCATTTCCATTTCTATTTCTTCCCTACCCTCCTGCCGTCTGAGCTCTAGCTGTGGGCAAATGCTGTCGTTTAGATCTTATATGATTTTTCTACAGACCCAGTACTGGTCCTGGTGTTATTTATCAGCTTCTCGGCCTGTATTGGAGCTCTGCAGAATTACTGATCTCCTTCTCGGCCTGTATGGTCTGTGTAGCATTACCGATCACCTCCCCAGCCTGTATGGGCTCTGCAGAATTATTGATCACCTCCCCAGCCTGTATGGGCTCTGCAGAATTATTGATCACCTCCCCAGCCTGTATGGTCTGTGTAGCATTACCGATCACCTCCGCGGCCTGTACCAGAGCTCTGCAGCATAGTCCATAAGGAGTTACTGACCCAGAGGCAAACGCTCTCTGGTGATGTGAAGTCGCCAGCAGCTCCTTGAGAGAAAGATGGGAGGAAGATGGTGCAAGAGAGGCCCCATGTCAGCCTGTCTGATGGTCCTTCAGCCTGTTGTCATGTGACTTACAGGCTCCTGACAACCTTCTGGAGAGTCAGCTACAAGTCATTCTCACTCAAAGGCAGAGAACTCTGACATAAGCCTCTCTATTGTTGGGTAGAAATTTGATATTTCATCATCATTTTGATTTGAATTCTATAGTGATCGATCAAGAAATTTTTTTCATGGGTATGCTGGCCATTGGAATGTCTTCTGTGATGAAGTGTCTTTTATGTCCTCTCCCTGTTTTGAAATTTTGTTGTATTTTTCTGACAGAAGTATCGGAGTTTTCTATAACTCTTACAGATGAGTCCAAGGTCAGATGTGTTATTGCCAAATATTTTCCCCCAATCTGTATGTAATCTTTCTATTCTTTTGGAAAATCTTTTGATACACATTTGTTGTTATTATTGTTTTTATGTGCTGTTGAGTCTCCTGAGACTCATAGTGACCCTATATACAGCAGCTCTGAAGCCTGCCCTGTCCTGAGCCAGTCTCACTGACCCCGACACATCTACCCTCATTGCCCAAGTTACTCTATCAATCCATCTTATCTTGGGTCTTCCTCTCCTGCACTGTCCCTCCACCCTTCCAAGCATGATGTCCTTCTTAGAGGACTGATCCCTTCTGGTCATGTGCCTAAAGTATGTGAGACAGAGCTTCAAAATCCTAGCCTACAAGGAGAAACCTGGTTTCACCCTCTCTAAGACAGATCTATTTGTTTTCTTGGCAGTCTATGGGATGTTGGGATGTTCAAGACTCTTCTCTAGCACCACAACTCAAAGACATCAGTTCTTCTTTTGTCATCCTTAGTCACTAGCTTTCTGATGCACAGGAAGTAATTGTGAAGACCATGGCCATAGTCAGGTGAACCTTAGTTTCCAGACTGACATTCTGGCTTCTCAGTACTCTGGAGAGGTCCCTGACAGCAGATTTACCTAATGGAGTTTGTCTTTTGATTTCTTGACTGTTGGTGTCAAGAGTGTTGATTGTGGAGCCAAGCAAGTTTTAACTGTTAAAAATGGGGGGGGGGGGGGAGGGGTTTGTGCGGGGAGAAGGGTGCAACAATGAATGAATGGAATCCCAAAATCTCTGTAGATGTTCATTGAAATGAAAAATAAACAACCTAAATTTAAAAAAAAAAAGAAGTAGTATTGCTAGCCCAAAGGCACCACTTCTTTGACAGTTTGACCAACAGTTCTGCTGGAGAAAGGTGAGTGATCAAACTCCTATTAAATTTACAGTCTCAAAAAAAGAGCTGCTAAACGGGTTAGGTAAGAGTGGATTCTGGCTCAATGGCAATGAATTTGAGTTCTTATTAGTATGCTAAAAAAATTAATAAATAAAATAAAGCTTTGTTGAAAAGAAAAAACAAAACAAAACCAAAAAAAACCTCAATCTTTTCTCCATCTATGGCCCAGTGGTGAGAATCTCTGTCTTCTTGATGTTGAGCTTCAATCCATACTGAAGACTACAGTCTTTGACTTTCTGCAGCAAGTGCTTCAGATCCTCCTCAGTTTCAGCAACCAAGGTTATGTCATTTATGTAACGTAGTTTGTTTTCTTCTTCCAATCCTGATGCCACATTCCTCTTCATAAAGTCAGATTCCCAAATTATCTGTTCTGCAAATAGATTGAAAAGGTATGGAGACAAGATACATCCCTGACACACTTTTTTCCTGATTTTGAATCATGCAGTGTTTCCTTGCTCTGTTCTGAGGACTGCTTCCTGGTCCAAGTATAGGTTTCAAAAGCACAATCAAGTGTTCAGGGATTCCTATTTTCCTCAAGGTTGAGCACAATTTGTTGTGATCCACACAGTTAAATGCCTTAGCTTAATCAAGGAACCACAGATAGACATTCCTCTGGTACCCTTTGCTTTCTGCCAAGATTCATCTGATATTGGTGATAATGTCTCTAGTGCCACATCTTTTAAACTAGCTTGTGTTTCTGGTAGTTCTCTGTCAATGTACTGTTTCAGTCATTTCTGGATAATCTTCAGCAGGATTTTGATAATGTGTGATATTAGTGATATTGTTCAATAATTTTCACACTCTGTCGGGTCATCTTTTTTTGAAATGGGAGTAAATATGGATCTCTTTCAGCCTGTTGGCCAGGTAGTTGTCCTCCAACTTTCTTGGCACAACTTAGTGAGCACATCCAGGGTAGTGTCTGTTGAAATATGTCAATTGGTATTCCATCAATTCCTGGGGATTTGGTTTTTTTCCAAGTCCTTCAGAGCAGCCTGAACTTCCTCCTTCATCATCATTGCCTCTTGGTCATATGTTGTTTCTTGAAATTCTGTGTTAACCAGTTATTTTTTGGTACAGTGACTCTGAATACTCCTTCTATCTTCTCTTAATGCTTCCTGAATCATTCAATATTCTGCCCATAGCATCCTTAAGCATTGCAACTCATGGCTTGAATTTGTTCTTTAGTTCCTTAAGCTTAAGAAATTCTGAGCAAGTTTGCTCCTTTTTTTCCCAACTCCAGCACCTTGCACATTTCATTATAATATTTTTCCTTGTCTTCCCAAGCTGCCCTTTGAAATAGTCTATTTAGCTCCTTAACTTCTTGATTGTTTTCCTTTGCTTTGGATTTTAAGTACTCTAGTGCAATATTCAAAGTCTCTTTTGACATCCATTTTGGTCTTTTCTTCTTCTTCTTCCTTCTTTGCAATGACTTTTTGCATTTTTCATTAATG